CATCTGACTGTGTAGGCATCAATGCCACAGTCACCTAGTTTTTTAATGAGGATGGGGTGGGAGATGGTGTCGAAGGCCTTGCTGAAGTCTAGAAAGACTACGTCCACGGCGACACCTGCATCCATTGCCTTTGTGACCTGAATTCACATTGTTAAAGAAGTAGAAAATATTATTTGATTAATATTATTATATATAATTTGTTTTCAGCCTGTGGGGGTTTTATGAATAATAAATATTATTGCCAACTGGGTGTATGTTTCTAGTTTCTGGTTACAACATGTACCTGGAGTCATTTTTATGTATGCATATATGTGCTAAAATAAAACAAATTCTGTCTGTACTGCACTGCAGCTTATTATATGACGGACTGAATTAGAAAATCCAGTTTTCATTACATTAATTGGTAAATAGAACCTGGCCAATTTCTATTTGTTAAATTGCCACTAACATTAGTTAGTGGAAGTTAGTGAAACTAACATTTAGTTTTACTAAAGGGGCCAGCAAGACTAGAATAGCATAATCTAATTGAAAACATCCAAAGGGATCAAGCAATAAGGTAAAGTTAAGAAAGAGACTGACTTGCAAGTGATCTATTTTATAATCTTAATTTTGTGCCCATGGTTTTATATATATATATATTTTAAGAAGTTTTTTTTCCCATGCAGTTTCTGACAGGAAGTTGTTGTTTCCATTAAAGATAGGCTCAAATTAATTTCAGAGGCAGAAAAGATCTAAGGCATTTTTGTCAGAAAACATGAAGGGAAAGGTTCTCTGCTGAAAGCAAAAAAGAAAAACATTATATAAAACTTGTTAAGATAAAGTGAATAAAGGGAACAAACACTACTGTAACTTTGAAATGTCTTGTGAAATTGTGCCCTAAAGATATGCTCAACCACATATGAAGCTCATGTGTACATTTCACAAAGGAATAAGGGTATTTAGGATCTGAAAGTAAACTTTGTAGCAATACGGAAAAACAGAAGAGGATTTGAGCAACATAAGATTGATGGAACCTATTTGTGTCAAAACTGTATAATGTGTACAGATTCATAATGTGTATATGAATCTGTACTGTTCTTGTTAATGCAGTGTGTATAGAAGGGAATAAAATGTACAGGGTAGATTTTTTGGAGGTAGTGAAAAAAGTATCACTGAGAAAGTCAGTGGCAGATTAAGATTTACTGGGGCCCTGGGCAAACAGAAGATTGGAGGCCCCCCACACCCCGTTATAAACATGATACATTCATGATACATTCATGAATGTATCTTGCCATTCCTGCCCTGCAGCTGGGCCCCAGATCCCAGTAAGTGGACTCCAGTGGGGCAGAGGGTCCCTTTCCCTTCCTGGTGCTGCTGCCAAAGGCAGGGTGGGCCTCCATGACATGCAGGGGAGGTTAAATGGACCCAGCTGGGCTGGGAGTGGGGTGGGCTGGGGTGGCACATGCCCACCTCTCCTCCCTGCACCCCCTGCCCCGCCACAGCCAAGCAGGGTGAGGGCAGAAGTGGGCTACCCACTGTGGGCTCAGGCCTTTCCACTCTGCAGTCTTTGCCCATGGGGCCCCGTGCTGGTCTCACACCCCCTGCCTGCCCAGCAGCAGTAAGGGTGGCGAGTTGTGCCCCCTGCTGCTGGGCAGGCAGGGGTTGTGCAGCTGACATGGGGCTCCTGAGAGAAAGGCAACAGAGCAGATAGCCCTGAGCACACAGCAAGCAGCCTGCATGCACCCCATACATAAATATGGGAGGGCACACACACCCCCATACCTCCCCTGGAAGGGTGTGCACAGTGGAAGGGAACCCCCCC